TTCTGATGTGAAGCCCAGCAGGCTCAGGGGCAGGTGGTAGGGAATCGGAGATAGCATAGAGGCTGCCCTTCCAAAGGCAGCTGATTCAAATAAAATGAATTAAAATACTACACAAGTATAGATTCACATAAAATATTCAACAAGACTTTTTGCCACAAAAATGGATGTATAAGTTAAAGGCAAGCCACAAACTATGGACTTTGATCCTCCATCCCTGCAATTCAAACATGGGGTGACAGTAATGAAAACAGAAGGAGGCTCCAACCCTTGAAAACTGACCATAGATCTCAGTGTCTGCAGGGAAGGGAGGAAAAATGGTGCAGTGGGGGGATGGTGAGCACAACTACATGGAGTACTGACCTGGGGAGCAGCAGCGTTGGAAGCTGCACAGGATGAGAGAAAGATCACTCAGGTCCATGTGCAGCAATGAGAAGTCTAGAGGGGCTACACCAAGAACCAGGTTCAGAGAGGATGGACAAGTACGTGGGAAATGCACAGGCATGGAGATGCACTATGGGGGATGCAATATCAGGGACGGATTATCATCTGATGCCACCCAGGGTGGTGTGATGGGGGGCTATGCTTGGGGGCTCCATAGTTCCTGCTAACCAGAGCCTACTGTCTCTAGCCCCTATTCTCTCCTAAGTTACTGCTAATCGTCACAAGGAGGGTGTTCTGGCTGATCTTGCTCCTCTGGCCACATTTGCCTGCTCTTCTCAGCAGACACTGGTTTCCCATCAGGATCCTCATACCGGGACTTTGCCCTTGGTTAGAGGTCCCTGGCCTGACTCTACGTTTAGTTTGACCAGCAGGGACTCTGGACACCAAGACCATAGCTCTGAGAACAAGAAGGACCGGGGACCCCACCATAGTGGAGGATTATGGGACATTCAGTGGTAGAAAACTACAGTTATGAAAAAAATGAGCAAGGATGTCAAATAATAGTAGTTCAGTCCAAAAAAGGAATGGAAATGTAAAAATGATAAATGTTAAAAGAAAAAAAAGCAATGGAAAAGGAGACTCTTTAAAAACAAATTAAAATATGGATTCCAAGGAAAAAGTTCAGAAAAGGAAGACTACATGGAAGAGAAAAGCAGCCAATGGTGCAGGGGACAAGGACAGAGAGTTCTAGAAAGTGTTGAATATCTCAGTGCCCCTAGAGTGTGAGAAGAGGCAGATTAAAGAGGGAGGCTGCAGGACTTCAAAGCTCACTCATGCCTGATGCCCCGTGTGTTTCCCGAAGCAACACAGAGGCCATCCCTCTGGTTAATAACACTTTGTTGGTGAAACCACTAGGCTACACGCTAGACATTTTAGTCATGTTTACACATCATCTCATTTAACTCACTGTGGTACCTTGAGTTAGGTCTCATTTTTATGTTATTTCTGTAGACAGATAAAAATAGCTTGGAGGGTGTTAGGCTAGTGTTAATTATCCCTGTTAGTAAATGGAAGGACTGATAAAAATCTGTTCCATGAGCCCAAGTTCCACCCTAGGGTCGATCCCTCCCTCAGACTCTCTCCATTGGTGACACACACATTTAAGTTTCACTGTAATTTCCACATCTAATTCTCTATTCCTTTATTTCTTCTTGCTTTAGGACATCTGATTTCTAAACAACGTCTATGGAGAACACCACAGAAGTGACACATTTCATCCTCCTAGGACTGACTGAAGCCACAAACCTACGCGTCCCACTTGTAATGATCTTCACTCTTATATATGCAATAAATGCCATCGGGAACCTGGGGATGATCCTGTTGATTCTTTTGGACTCTCGTCTCCACACACCCATGTACTTCTTCCTCAGTAACCTGTCTCTGATGGACTTCTGTTACTCTACGGCTGTCATCCCTACAGTCATGACTGGGTTATTTATAGGAGATGAGGTCATTTCCTATGGTGCATGTGCTTCTCAGATGTTCTTTTTTGTGGGCTTTGCCACCGGGGAAAATTTCATCTTGGCTGCAATGGCCTTTGACCGCTTTGCAGCCGTGTGCAAACCCCTGCATTACACCACCATCATGACCACAGGTGTGTGCGCAGGTCTGGCTATAGTCTGCCATGCTGGTGGTTTCCTGAATGCTGTCATCCATGTTGGAGAAACATTCAGTCTCACTTTCTGCAGCAACAATAAGGTCCATCACTTTTTCTGTGATGTTCCAGCAGTCATGTCTTTGTCTTGCTCTGATAAGCATGTTGCTGAGATGATCCTTGTTTATGTAGACACCTTCAATGTCTTTTCTGCTCTTTCAGTTATCTTTGTTTCCTACGTGTTCATTTTTATCACCATCTATAGGATGCGCTCATCTGCAGGCTATCAGAAGGCTCTGTCCACCTGTGCATCTCACGTCACCGCCATCACCATCTTCTATGGGACGATCATCTTCATGTACCTACAGCCCAGCTCCAGCCATTCCATGGACACAGACAAAATGGCTTCTGTGTTTTACACTATGGTCATCCCCATGCTGAACCCCATCGTCTACAGCCTGAGGAACAAGGAGGTCAAAAATGCAATCAAAAAGGTGGGTGAGAAGACAAAACTGTCCCTGGGGTTATGATTTAACATTGTATGGGGCATAATTAGCTACTTTCATTCCTCTCCATCTTCTTCATGTGCTGAGTTAGAATCTAAGAAACACCTTTAAATCCTGAAGTAACACCCTCACCTTTTCTAAAGTCTACTGTATAGAATAAGAAAACATTCCAGCAATGCAAATATAACTACAAATGGCTAAGGAGACACATGAAATATTTGTTTCTATGTGTCAAAACTGCATCTTAGAGATATTTAATGTATTTACTTGTTCTGCATGCATTTTCTCTGCCTCATGCACTACAATTGCACAGGTAAAGCAGAGGAACAAACAAGTGCTATGACAGAAGTGAGTACAGATACTCAGAGAAGCAGAATTAACAAGAGGTAAATGTAGGGTATTATTAATAAAATTAATTTAAAAATTAAATTAGGATATTGAAAAATAAACTCTATCGAAGTCCTTTTAGTTGAAAAATAATCTAAGAGTCCTAACTTGAGAAAAATGGGATACACTCATAATATTATGTGTTTATTTCATTGGCATATTTTATTGACAGAATATAGACTTACCATCATAAATGAATCAAAAATTCTACCTTGTCTAAGTCATTTTGTTGAGCTTATATTTTCTCACGATACTTTGCAAAAGGAAAAGACCCCCAACACAAAAAACAAGGATGTAAATGCATTTTTGATTTCTTCATACATGATTGCTCACTTGCACATTGTTTAAAAAAATGCACTGGGTTGATAATGTATTTTAAGTCTACAAGTACTTTAGATGGTTAATGTTGCTTATTAAGTCTTCATTTAGTCAAGTTGCATTATATCTTTTCACTCCTAAGTTTTTACCAAAGTTAAATTCACAATGATCTTTCTTTACAATTTCCTCACAATTCCAAGCACCTTCAACTTCAGGGATTTTGTCTTTACTATCTCCTCAATGGGGATCATGAAGGCTCTCCTTCAGTGACACTCCATCCCAGAAATTGTCTTCTGTAAGCATCTTCAGAAACGTCCATCACCCATCCCATGTGCACTATTTCTTCACCCTGTGTCATCCTTCATAGTTTGATTAACTTTGCTTAACTATAAATTATTTCTGCACTACTATATAATCGCTCTCTACAACTGTACAACAAATTCTAAAGCATCAGGCATGTTGTTTTCTTTATAACATGATCCTTGGTACTTAAATGTGTGTATGTTGCATAGGAGATTCTCAATAAATGTTTGTAACCTGAATGCATGCAATAAACATTGGAGTCTAATTGTCCCAATGTGTTGAATCTTTGAACCACCAATCATAGCGTGTCTTCCGTAACTTAGACCTGCCAGATAGACATTAATTGTACCCTAGAGAGGAGGAGCTAGGTGTCTGCTTTGCTGAGATATTTTAATATAGTCTCACTCATTGCTTAAACTCCAAGTTATTGAACAGGATTGCTTCAAGAAATCCATCCATTACCAGTGTCATAGAAACCAACTCATGAGCAGTGCCTTGAAATCACAATTGTGGCAGAGAACACATCAAATAAATATTATTTTGTAAAATCAAAGGTGACATTAAGTATGAGATGATTTTAAAGTGTGATATATAAAATATTTGGAAAACTTCAGATATATTAATACACAATTAACAAAACAATTCTAAATATCAATATATAATATAAACATGACAATATTTATCAGTAATAAACAAAACGCATCCTTAGGCTAATATAATGCACTATATTTAGGTTTTTTAATTTTGATCCTCAGAAAGTGCAACACAATTCAAAACTTACCCAGAAGGGTGTTCACTCATGTCTAGTGTTTTGCTTCTACATAATTAGGCAAAATAACATCTCAACAGAGCTACTAAAAGAGATCAAAACATCACAAAGAAGGAGCCAGAAACCATAATGTTTTCTATAGGGGCCATTAGTTGAAGGGTAACGCGCAATCAAGGGCCCTCATGAATTAGAGAGAAAACTGGGGGTGACCTTAAAGCAAGGAATCACTGTTATGTCTTATGTTATAAACAAGTTGATAAGAAATTCAGAGATGTATGGGGTTGTCAGCATCACATACAAACACCTGGCAGGATGTTTCCCATATTTTACCCTCCAGAGTATATCACAGATAAGACTGCTTGGGGTTTAATGCAATGATTATAGCATACAGCCAGCAAGCCGGGATGTGCTCCATGGTTATAATGTGGTCATTTGGTGGCAGCCACAGGTAAGGACATTCCAGTGTCCTTCCATACCACATTCCTATAAAAGACCTTGGTGTACCCACCCCTACCCAGAATTCAGCCCCTCTTCTGACACAGGACTTCTGCCCTTGACAGGAAGCTGACCTCATGAGCATGAGCCCCTGCTCACACTTCAGTTCCCTTGATATCGACCAAACAGCATTGTCTTGTGTTTGCTCATCTTAGGTGCCTCTCGTGACATTTGTCAAACGACTTTGATGGAAAACATTTCAGAGCTCACCGAATTCATTTTTGTGGGACTAACAGATGCCCCATATATGCAGGTCCCTTTATTTGTCATCTTTACCCTCATTTACTTTATCACTCTGCTTGGGAACCTGGGCATGATGGTATTGATCCTGCTGGACTCCCGACTCCACACACCCATGTACTATTTCCTCAGTAACCTCTCCCTGGTGGACTGTGTTTATGCCTCAGCTGTCACTCCCAAGGTGATGGTGGGGTTCCTCACAGGAGATAAGATTATCTCTTACAATTCATGTGCCGCCCAGATGTTCTTCTTTGCAGCCTTTGCCACTATTGAAAGTTTCCTCCTGGCGTCCATGGCCTTTGACCGCCATGCAGCTGTGTGCAAACCCCTACATTATACCACCACCATGACAAGTACATTGTGTGCCTCGCTGGTCACTGGCTGCTACATCTGTGGACTCTTGCAGTCTTCCATCCATGTGGCCTTCACTTTCCACCTCTCCTTCTGTCATTCCAATGTTATCAATCACTTCTTCTGTGACATTCCCCCACTCCTGGCTCTCTCTTGCTCTGACATCTATACAAATGAGATTGTACTCCTCACATTGGCATCTTTCAATGTCATAATCACTCTCTTTGTTATTTTGAACTCTTACCTCTTGATTTTTATTGCCATCCTAAGGATGCACTCAGCAGAGGGACGGAAGAAAGCCTTCTCTACCTGTGCCTCCCATCTAACCACTGTCTCCATCTTCTATGGGACAATCATCTTCATGTACTTACAGCCCAGCTCCAGCCATTCCATGGACACAGACAAAATGGCATCCATGTTCTACACCATGGTCATCCCCATGCTGAACCCCATTGTTTACAGCCTGAGGAACAAGGAGGTCAAGAATGCCTTCAAGAAAGTGATTGAAAAAGCAAAGTCTTCTTTGGGCTCATGCTACTAAATAGAAAGAGCACTCAGGTCATGTGAGAATCTTGTGTCTGTAAATGTATTTTGAACTTTAATTCCTTCTTATCTGAAATTTCTCTGCACATTCCCCTCCCAAATGGCTCTGCTTCTACTTATTCTTTAGGACAATGACTGGGTAGGAGAGCATGTGGATGTCTTTTGGCGGAGGTGGGATATTATTTATATCTTAAGATCAATTTTTTATTCTAAATGCTATGGGATCACACACTACATCACTCCGTTGGTCTAAAGTGCTATGTAGGTCAACTCCTAAGTGTATAACCCTAGACTTATATTTTCAATTGCTAGGATTCAAAAGAACTCCATGATTCTTGCACATAGCAAAAATGTAGGGATCTCAAACATTCATTCTGCTACGAATGTTATTAAGAGATTATTAAAATACAGAATCCAGGATCCACTTCCAGCATTCTGCTCTAATATATCTCCGTTGAAGTCCAAAATGCTGTAGGATTTTTCTTCCTGATCCATATTCACCTTGATCCTGAACTTAGATAGCAAGAATGCCAATGGTAAGAATGAAAGTTGGTTAATGAAAGATACTATATAAGCTAAATTTATTTAGTTCCTGACTTTCAGAGAGAAAAAGATAGCTCAGAGGATAAAAATATATCCATACCTTCTCCTTATCCTTATCCTAATGAATAAAATTCATATAAGAGTCTACATAGGGAGGAATGCCAGCGTTCTCAACAAGTATCCCCTGTTTCAGATAAGGTTGGTGGAAAGATCGCACTCTGAGAACTCTTCCCCCAGAGCAATGAATCAAAAGCATCATCACCAAACCAGCAGCATCAGCACTAGCTGGAATATTTTACAAATGTCATTTAAAGGAAACTCTACCCCACCTATGGAATCAGAAACCCTAGGAGTTCAGTAAAGTTCTCTGTGTCTTAACAAGTCTTCCCGGTGTTTTTGAAGCATGTTCAGGTTTGAAAACCACTGGACTCAACCTAGAAACACTAGCTTAAAGCAGTGCTTCTCAACCTTGACTGCACATTACAGTAACTAGAGGAAATTTTTGAAATACTGGTGCCTGGTTCCTGCCTCCAGAGAATATGATTTAACAGATCTGGGGATAAGACCTTGGCACCAGGAGGTTGCAGAGTGCAATCATTTCCCTAGAGCCTGATCTACAGAAGAAATTGAAAATAAAAAAAATAATATTCATTTAGCAACTAGTGCCTCACCAATTATTTGCATCTGCTGTCTCATTCAGCTTCTACACTAATTCAGTATAGTCTGCCATATTGAGAGGAGCAAATGGAGACATAAAAGAACAGATGGTCCCAAATTGAGAATTTTGAACCCAGTTTTTAGGACTCCAAAGTATGTCCTTTCCAGGTTAGTACAGCTAACAACTGTTTAGCACTATAACATATTATAATAAGAATAAAGGACAGGAACAAAAAGAGACTTCTTGTTCCATAAGCTTTTGGCCCCATTGTTGTAAATTAGTTGTCCACAAGTGTGTGGTCTTATTTCTGGACTCTGAATTCTGCTCCATTGTTCTGTGTATCTCTTTTTATCCCAATACCAGGCTGTTTTAGTTATTATCACATTATAGTACAGTTTGAAGTTGGGGAGCTTGATGCCTCCAATTTCGGTCTCTTTTTCTTGGGAATGTTTTTGTTATTCATGATCTTTTGCTGTTTCAAATACATTTTGTGATTTTTTTTTCTATTTCTGTGAAGAATGTCATTGGGATTTCGACAGGGGTTGCATCTGTATATTGCTTTTGGTAATATAGACATTTTAATGACACTAATTCTTCCAGTCCGTGAGAATGAAATTCCTTTCTATCTCTTTATGTCTTCTATTTATTTCAACAGTGTTTTATAGGTTTCAGTATGCAGGTCTTTCCAAAAACTATAACACTAATTCAAAGAGATACATGCTCCCCCATGTTTGTTGCATTACTATTTACAATAACCATGAGCTAGAAACAACTTAAGTGCCCAAACATTGACAAATGAATAAAGATGTGGTATGTGTATAAATATATATGTATGTGTATATACATATGTATGTGTGTGCATGTATATATGTATATGTGTGTGTGTTTGAATGGAATACTATTCAGCTATAAAAAAGATGAAACTCTGACATTTGCAGCAAGATGGATGGCCCTCCAGGGAATTATTCTTAGTGAAATAAGTTGGACAAAGAAAGACAAACACCATATGATTTTCCCCATATATGGTATATAGAGAAAACAATCTCAGTATAACCTCTGTAACCAAAGCACTAGAAGGACTGAAAGAGAAATGAAAAGGTCAGAATAATCTTGATCTAGCATCTTTCCTGAAAATGTTTCAGTCTCCTCCAGTGTTGATATTTGGAAGATTCCGTAAATCCTATGGCTTCATCAAACTCTGAGTAAGAGCACATCAAACAGCATAGGTCTGTGTGGTCATCCGAGGCATTGAAAGGGATTGGAGTCTTTGTCCTGCTAGAAAATTTGCATATTTTGATAGGCACGTACTTTATTTTTTTTTAAATAATAAATTTTATTTTTATATTCCCCATACAATTGCAACCCCCCCATTCTGACCCCAATCCCTCCCCTCCCGCCCCCCAAAACTGTCTCTGGTTCATAGTTTTTTGTTGATTTTGATTTTCACTTTCTTATAGTTATTCATTTTCCTGGTCCCTTATTTAAGTTTTCTAGATTCCTGCTATGAGTGAGACCATCTGGTATTTTTCTTTTTCTTTCTGGCTTATTTCGCTGAGCATGATCCCTTCCAGCGCCATCCATGTTGCTGCAAATGGCATATGTTTATCTTTTTTGAATGCTGAGTAATATTCCATGGTGTATATGGACCACATCTTCTTGATCCAGTCATCTATTTTTGGGCATTTGGGCTGTTTCCAAAGCTTAGCTATTGTAAACAGTGCTGCTATAAACATAGGGGTGCAGGTGCTCTTTGGAATTGATGTTTCTGTGTCCTTTGGGTAAATACCTAGGAGTGGAATTGCTGGATCATATGGAAGCTCTATGTTTAGTGGGTCCAGAAATCTCCACACAGCTCTCCATAGTGGTTGGACCAGTTTACACTCCCACCAGCAGTGCAGGAGAGTTCCTTTTTCTCCACACCCTTGCCAACATTGTTGTTGCTAGTTTTTTTAATATGTGCCATTCTCACTGGTGTAAGATGGTATCTCATGGTAGTTTTGATTTGCATTTCCCTGATTACAAGTGATGTTGAACATCTTTTCATATGGATAGGCACTTACTTTAAAGAGGATTGGAGACCACAAACCTTAAAAACAGATGTGTTCCCTTTCACCAAACCCCATCTTTTGTCTGAGAAGAAATAGAAAGATGACAGTAAAAGATGAGTATGTTCCCAGTAAGCCTCTGAGCACTGACCTTTTACATCCTGGTGAGTTGGAAAAGGGCCCTAGTCACGTAGAGATGTTCATCACAAACAGCAGGCTAGATGGCGCTTTTACCACACCTCAGACCCATATGGGATAACAACTGAATAATGTCATAATTCATTTATCCCCTGTCAGAATGCTTCTGAAAGTTTTTAATGAAAATTAGTAATTTATCCAACTAAAAAGTTTCTATCAGAATTATATCTGTGGATGGATGCTGCTAGACACTGAATGTTTGAGTGTGCCCCACATTCATTTGTTAAAATCCTATGGCCAATGTGGTCAGAGTAGGAAATGGGCCTTTGTGATGAAATTCAATGTGATGGAGCCCCCATGAATGGGATTTCTGTCCTTATCAAAGAAATTGCAGAGAACACCCAGTCCCTAGGGAAGCAGCTTCTTACCAGACACTAAAACTGCCAGCACTTTGAATCTTGGGCCTTCCAGCCTCCAGAGCTGTAAGAAATAAATTAGTGTGATTTATAAGCCACCCAGTGCACAGTATTTGTTATAGAAACCTGAGCGATCTAAGAAAGAGGCGGAAGCATTAGAAGAGCAAAATGAACTCAAGCTCTCCCCAAACTATTAGCTATAATAAGACACTTGTATGAAAATCAAAAGTGAAGAGAAAAATCCTTCAGGTGGGCCATGAAGGAAAGAAATAGGATGTTGTCAAAACAAGATGGAGCTTTCTACATGTTAAAAACTGATCTCTGCAACTGACCTCTACTAGGAAGTGTTCGTTCCTGAGGACTGGCATTAGCTCCTACATCGGCTTTCTCATCATCTACTCTCTGGCTTTTTATATTAAACCATTAAATTTTTATTTAATAAAAATAAATAAATTAGGAAGGAATGTGTGAGTAGACCATTTTATGAGTGAATAAATAAATATGTTTATGAACTGAGATTGAGTGAATGAGTCAGCTCCATCTTGGGCCCCCTGATTACAGGATTTAAGATCTGTTCATTCTTTATGTCCAAAAAGGACATCTCTCAAATCACCCAATAATGTTCTGTCTTCTCTCACCCCATGGAAGCACAAACCATATTCCTTTTCATTAAATCCAATGTTCATATATTATAATCAAGTCCACTCACTACCCTAGATAACGGCTTTTGAGGCATCATAAAATTCAAGAAATTAACAGGGATAGAAGTGGAATTTAAATGGTGAACTCAGTGTAGTATATTCACATGTTGGTTTCCAATGAGGCACACTTTTATTTATTTTATATGATGCTATAATGCAATATTAACTCAAATAAATAAATAAAAGCAAAAAGAGAGGAAAGATGCATTTCGTTCTAACAAATCAGGGCAATAAATATCACGGCATCCAACCTTTATAGGAAAACCTCTACTACTGTAGGTGGAAGAGAAGAAAATGGCCCAGTCTTTCTTCACCCCTGGCCTGACAGCCAGAAAGATAAAGAGAGAGGATGAGAACTGTCCACCACTGGAAGCGTCCGCTGCACTCGGGGAGCAGTACCAGGTCCTCTCTCTAGATGACAACAGGAATTCTTACTGCTCATGGGGACTCACAGATAGAGGGGTCACTCTGTGCAAAGACACATCTCAAGACAAAAC